AATTCGCTCAAGGAAATCACATAACATAGGGCATTATCAAATGTAAAGTGAGAAATTCGCCCAAGGTAATCACATAACATAGGGCATTATCAAATGTAAAGTGAGAAATTCGCTCAAGGTAATCACATAACGTAGGGCATTATCAAATGTAAAGTTAGAAATTCGCTTAAGGAAAACACATACCGTAGGGCATTGTCAAATTTAAAGTGAGAAATTCGCTCAAGGAAATCACATAACATAGGGCATTATCAAATGTAAAGTTGGAAATTCGTTCAAGTAACATCCTTATTGCGCTGTACCAATAACGACAGTAAAGTAAGACAAAGATGAATACAAATATCAGTGTGGCTTGGAATTGCTCGGTTTATATGTAAAAATCGAGTTGAAAAATAACCAAGTTTCTCACCTTGTAAGATTTATTAATATTTTACATTTTGTTACTTTGGTCCTATTGATATGCGAGTAATTCAATTATTCTTTAAGCAACTCGATATTTTGCATTGTTTGTGTGAATTATTAAATTAGGTAAAAACTTGATTGACATTGAAGCTTAGTTTTTGGATGTTTTACGACAATTTCACATTTTCATTGGCGTTAAAATAAGAAACGCTGTTGTAATAATTGATAGGACATTGTCTTAATCTAGTTCAGCTACGATTGTTTGTTTGTTTTGAATTTCGCGCAAAGCTACACGAGGGCTATTTGCGCTAGCCGTCCCTAATTTAGCAGTGAAAGACTAGAGGGAAGGCAGCTAGTCATCACCACCCACCGCCAACTTTTGGGCTACTCTCTTACCAACGAATGGTAGGATTAATCGTCACTTTATAACGCCCCCACGGTTGAAAGGGCGAGCAGGTTTGGTGTGCCAGGGATTCGAACCTGCGACCCACAGATTGCGAGTCGAGCGCCCTAACCACCTGGCCAAGCAGGGCCGTTGAGCTTCGATAGAAAGTATATTGCATCATATGATGGATAGACAGCAATTGAAACAAATAGAAGTTTTTATTATTCTAACAATAAAAGGCGTTTCAGATTAACTAATCGCCAACTGACACTCTCAAGCTCTAAGTATGCAATAATATAACAATAACTAGCTGGAGTACCTGTCCCCTGGACGGAAGTTGTATAAATTCATGATTAATGAAAGGTTATCTTAGGACATAATGTTGCTTCCCTTATATGTAATTGTAGATAACGCAAAAACACCCATAAAACTGCAAAACACAAAATGTAAAACTGAAAATTTACATGTATCTCCGCATCGACCTAAGAAACCTTCATGCCAAATTTGTTGAAGATCCATCAACAGGGGGCGAAGTAGTGGTAAAATACGCAAAAACGCCCATAAAAACCGCAAAGTGCAAAACATAAAATTTGTATGTATCTCCCCATGAATCCAACGAACCTTCGTGCCAAATTTGGTGAATATCCATCAACAGGGGGCGAAGTAGTGGTAAAAAACGCGAAAACGCCTATAAAAACCGCAAAATCCAAAACTAAAAATTTGTATGCATCCATGAGCCTAGTGAACTTCCATATCAAATTTGGTGAAGATCCATCCTACGAAATTGTTACATGGAAATATAACAGACAGTACTATTATATTTATATAGATGATAATAATGTGGTACCCTGTTTGCTATTGTTTTGACATTTATTGAAAACTACGTAGATAAATTATACACTTTCTTTTCAAGTCTCTGCCTTTTTATTGTTAAAAAGAAGTACTGGGTATTCGTATAAATTGGGATTTATACCCGTATGTGCTTATATTTTTCATCCTAGAGCTTAAGACACGATTTCTCTAATAAATGGTCGAATTACTAGCTGTATTGACGTAAAGAATTCCTATAAATATTTCTTTATTATTTCATAATCCTGCTGGAACCGTGAAAGTGAGATTCTGTGGTACACATACTTTGTGAAAAGAAGTCAATAAAACCTACTTTATTTGAGTGATTTCGGTTGCGGAGGTGTCTGGAATGGTATGTGTTCGTGTATGTCAGCGTGAGAGAGGGAAAAGATGCGTGATACCTATCTCAACAACAAACAACCAAACAATATATTGTAGTTTGGTGTGTTTTTCATCTGATTAAAACAATACATTAAGCTAAAATAAAAACGAGTGCAATGGTTCATCTGTGTGTGGGGGGGAGGGGGGGGGTAATTTTTAAAATTAATTAGGACAAAATAGAAATTGTACTTCTAGTGTTTTGTTATTGGAAAAAAGTTGAAGTTTTACTCAAGTCGTTCTTCGTTCGCGGACCCCCTGTAAAACATGTACGCCCTTTATATATTAATAGAATACAACTGTGAAAAGTTAATTGGTTATGGTGAAATACGTGTGCGATTAAGATTAACACGTAGTAAAGTTTTAGATAAAATGTATTTTAAAATGTCTAGATAGAGAAAAAGTAATTGCTAGAACCATAACTTCAACATCCTGTAAAATATTAATTTTTATATTGATTTTTCTTCTCTAGTACCCCGTCTAGACAACGTAAAGCCTGGCGTTGGTTATCATGCTATTGTAAAGGAAAACGACAAAAATGTGGAGGTCACACCCAAAATCCGTGTTATAAATGGTAAGTTGTTTCAGAATCATCTTATTAGTAGATGGTAAGGTTTGACGACCTTTCCAAATACAGAATCATGTCACAGAAGCGACTCCGTTTCCCAAGACATTTAAAAAATAAAATAAAACTAATCAATCGCTTAATTGTTATATTAAGGAATTGAACTATTGTGATGACAATATTTATTTTTGGAATAGCGCGAGGCCCCAACGTGCTTGTGCTTGAGGCATGCATTGAGTATTGTCGTTGATTAAAATATATATTCCTTGATACTACATGTACGTTTTGACTACAAATAGAAGTGGTAAGTTTTTACAGAATCCTGATAGCTACACAATTGGCTATCTGTGCTCTGCCCACCACGGGTATCGAAACCCGGTTTCTAACGTTATAAGTCCGCAGACATACCACTGTGCCACATCCTGATAGGTTTTAAATAGATAATCTGTGTCGAGGTAAACATCGACTCTGTGTAAAACAGAAACCATGTAATTACAGTAGATGTTAGAGTAAAGTTATGTACGTAGTCGACATCCTTTATGATCTGAAGTTTTTAAATAAATAAACAAATCCATGTTATAGGCGACAATCTGAAGTTCAGTTTTGACGAATTGTTCAAAATACAGAATCCATGTTACAGGCGATAGATTTTTACGGTATTTCAAATACAGAATCAGTGTTTTAGTTATACAGTGTCAGATAAAATGCAGTTAATAAATGGTAAAATGTGTTATTTTGTTAAGAATGGAAATTCAATGCAGCCGACGCAAGTCTTCTCTGAGATATCGATTCCAGGCAGTCCACTGGAAGTGTTTGCTGTAAAATCACTAAAATAGACCCTTGTATTAGACACGATGTCTGTATGTCTTCCAAGTGCAAAGCGTATGTAGTGAACGGTGCGTTCTTTCAATCATTTAAAGTGAATTTAGGCAGTAGACGCAAACACTAAACTTCCAAGTCATACCAGGGTTGTAGTGCGGTATTCCACCATCCAGTACATTACCAACATCATGTAGCGATTATTTCAAATAAACATAAACAAAAAAGAGAACCTTCTAGCTCCTACTGACTTGCACAAATGTACAATGATTTAGAACAAAACGAGAGCGGTTGTTAAGAATTTTTCTTCTACCCTTCATATGGGGAGCCGGGACCTCTCGTGATCCCTCTCCATTTGATTCTATCGTTCACCACACTGAGTCCTATTGACTACTGTCCCCTTTAATACAGTCCTTCCAACTTTTCCTCGGTCTCCCTATTCGCCGCTTGCCTTTTACTTTTCTGTCTGCTGCTTATTTTAGGCAACAGTGTTCAGGTATGCTCTGTCTTTCAAGAAATCAAAATCACCAGAATCTTCCTCAATTCTCTACACAAGCAAGACCTTGTACTTCACGTAGTTTTTATCCTTATATTTAGTCTCCTGTCAGTGCATAACAGTGAAACGTCGACTCGTCAGACCATAGCGTATTCCTCCAGTCATTTATTGTCCACATTCTACACTTGAGGTAGTAATGAAGCTGTGCTTTCTGTTTGTCTCGAGACAAGCGCGTTTTCGGGCTGATTGTCGCCTACCATATGGCAGTGTTTGTAATGCCTTTAAGATAATCGTAACCTGGTCAGTGTTGAAGAATCGGTCGTCTTGGACTACTTTGTAAGCCTGTTTAATTACCTTTTCCCGTATCACTTTTTTACTTGGGGCACAAGTAATCCATTTTGATTGGGCGTCACTGACAGAATGAGGCTTAGAGTGCCGGTTAGAAAACAAGCTGATTATAATAACACTCGTTACGTGAAAATCCTTAGTATGCCTCTTTTGAAAGTGAAAGAATCCTATTGTCTTGCAAACTTCCATGATAATGACTACATTGTATTTAGAGAACTCGAGAAATCAACTTGTTTTACACATGCAAATAATATTCTATAATTATGTGTGTTTCTTAATAAATTGCTTACTTAACGTAACGGTAGTTTCTTTGACTATGCTTAATTTATGCGAAAATTGTAATAATTACAATATTTTTTAATAATTAATTTAAATGTAATGGTATAGTAAAGTAATTATACGTTATAAACTGCTCGTCCGAGGAAAACAAACGTGTACTAGAAACAATGAATAACTTAGTAGAACACATACCTCCGCCACGCACCATTGATCATATTCGGCTCTCTAAAATACGAAAATCTGTCCATATGTCGGTCGTTATCAAGAAACAAAATAGACAAATCCCAGTAAGATTTCAAACAGAAACCATCATCCGCCCAAATTTCCAATAATCAAACTCACCACAGAACAGCATGCACTCAGGCTTTCAAACATGCTCAGTATTTCAAACAAGTCACATAACAACACACACTGAGACTTCAAACAATGAAACTGTACAATTTCCACCGAGATTTCAAATAACCAAACTCATTACAGAACTTGAAGAACACTCAGTAGAACATATACCTCCGCCACGCAGCGTTGACCATATTCGGCTCTCAGAAAATACGAAAATGTGTCCGTCGTTATAAACGGATACGGACCATTTTTGGCAGGACAATGATGAATACTATTCTACATATGTTCACCAAGATTCATTAACATCCAATCATTTTTGACTGAGTTATAGAGCAAAAATAGTGTGAAAAATCATTCCCCACGTTAACAGATCGGATTTTTTATTTGCGTGACCTTGACCCTTCAAAAACTAATCACTTCTAAGTTGGATCGTAATCCAAATGTATAACAACTTTCGTCGAAATCCATTCAGCCGTTTTCAAGAACTCTTGCTGATAACACAAACAAATACACCACACACATGGGTGAAACATAACCTCCGTCCACCTTCGATAGCGGAGATAATAAGTTTCATTAAGGAAAATGTATATGTAGTACAGCGTTTTTTAAATGTCTAAACTTTCCCGAATAAAACTTATCATTCCTAATGTGCCTCTGGCGAAATGTAGTCACCTACGCCGAGTAGTTTTGAAGATTTAGTCATTTTAAAACCAGGGGTTTATTGTATTATTATTATCATTACTTTGTAGATACATCTTACTTATATCCCCTCTTCGTCCCATCACATTTCAAACTCAAAATTAGGTATTGCAAAAGTGTCATTTTTATAATATTACTAAATCAGTTTTCAATTATACAGAGGTACCCTAACTTTTGCTTTGTGTTAAATGCAAACACACACACACACACACTTGACCTGGATTGATAATCCGTACACTAGTGAATAGCAAAACAAAAATGTCCTTGTATGGATAATTAACCCACTTCCTTTTTTGTCTTCTTGTAATACTTCTATAACAAGAAGAAGAGACGCAAATTGAACATAAATTTCATACTTTCGAAGAAAAGTATTTATAAACACTCGGACTTTGAAAATTAACATTAAAAATACTTCACATGATAATTAATTATAAAATAGTTTTACATATTAAAATATTAACTCTCTAATTTCTTAAATGTAAGTGATTAACATTATGTTATATTAAGGCTTTTGCTACCGTTTAAAACGATGTGGTGTAATATTTTTACAGTATTGGATTAATAAAACAATTTTCTATCAACTTTAATCGGCTGTGGATGTATTGTTAGTAGTTCCAGTATTTTAGTAGTGAATGCATGAGGTTCAAAAATAAGGGACAAGATTTTGAAATGAGACGTTAGATTTTTTTTTCTTTTTCCTTCGCTGACGAACCCCTTAAAACAAAACTTGCGGATTTTATTTTTGTGGTACCTATACCACGATAACGGTTGAATTTTTCCACTAAACTGACGCACCTACTTACCAAGATGGATATAAAAAAAGATAAAACTCCAATATCATCAAATGGAAGGCACCTCAGTACTTTCTTCGAAGTTCTTATTTTTCAAGCGTCTTATTCCATTTTTTCCTCGCTTTCATATTTCCACTAGCTGTCTGAGAGTTAAAAGATGTGTTATTTTCTTTGTTTAATGTTATCATGCAAATATTCTTGTGGATTAAATGTGTGTAGGTCGTATTTCTTTAAATTCTCAAGCTTACATCTATAATACGTACAAACAAAAATCAGATGGTCTAGTTTAAACTGTACTTTTTATAAACTTTTATCTATACTTCTTATGCATTTATAATTCAACATGCACGCGCGCATGCGTACACACACAACAGAACTTCGTTTAGCTTGATGGATTGAAAGTTAAATTTTAAAAATGTCTGCAGCATAATCCTGTAAATTGCAGCTCCGGTAGACTGACACCAACCACTATATCATTGTGTTATATTAATATGCTTACCATTAAGTGTCCTACAGAATATAAAGTTACAGCAACTTCATTATTTTCGTGAAGTGAGATGCGTCCACTGTGTTCGCAAGCTGTATTGATCAGGTTAGAGAGAACGGGCATGCCGTAGCTTAGTAATGGTCCGTGGAGCTAATGTAAGAAATTGTAAAGAACAGACCGGAGCGGAAAGGATGAATCTTAACTTAATTACAGTGCATTGTTCTTTGTTACAGAGTGACACAGAAGTTTGGTTTTAATGAGCAGTTTCGTTTTTAGCTCACATTAGATTACCTTAGCAGAATCCTTATGTTAAATGATACTTCCGAGTTTAGTAATGATGTAAACAGATCCAGTTCTCTGATAGAAAGGTATATTTCTCATATTACAAAACCAAATTTGTGACCTGTGTGCTGGTTTTCATTTTTTTAGGTTGTGAGTTGTGCGTGCTTCATATTACGTATTTTTTAATACAAAACATCATATTATCGTTCATCAATTTTAAGAAGTCCAAACAGCGTGTGGAAAATCCTGCCTCTTAGTAAAATACATTCAAACAATGTAGAAAGGTACTGGCATTTTAAGGCATTTTCATGTTTAAACACGTTATTGCTCTACAAAATATCTCAAAGACTGTTGGAGTCGTGTATGTAACAACTGATACAACTGTTTTACACTTCCACTAAAACTTAGTACTGCTTACAGATACTTTTTACGGTAAATATTTCAGAAAATACAACTGTCAGTTTCTAGAGGTGAAGTGGTTATGGTTGTTAATAAATTAAAATAATTTCGTTGAAACAACAAAATATGCCTAAGTATCGGAAACAAAATTAGGCTGTTTTTGTTAGAAACGTTAATTACAATTTTCATAAAGAACTAGTAATGCAAATTAAAGTTGGTAAAACTGGACCAAATGAAGTAGTTTTCTTAATATATTAGGATTAAAGTCAATAATGTTTTTTTTACTGGATTTCTCCATAATTTTGTATTAATTTATCCCACTTTAATTCTTATGAACGAAAGTTCTTCGTTTCATACATTTTCTTTGATTAAAAAAAGTCTTTTACTGGTACGTGTATGCGTGTATTTGTGTGAAGAATTCAAAAGTATTATTATCTTTTTACAATGCGATGAAAAACGTTTCTTTCCTAAACCCTTATCGTAATGTTCCAGAGGAACCAGCTCGGTTTCTGATAACTAGCAAGCATCATGGAGAAATTCCCTTTCGAGTTCAGATAAAGGATCCTAAGAAAGGAGAAGCTATTCTGGTAGCTGAGAAGAATCTGAACTGTGAGAAAAGAAAATCCTACAAGTTTGAAATCGCTGCTGTGGGACGTAATGGTGAAGTTTCTGAGAAGTACGTTCAGTAATTGTACTTCATTTTATTTTTGTGGTTCAGAGTTTTAGTATTTTAACAACTTTTGTCAATATGACCTGGAGGGCAATCATAAGGTAAAAAATTAATTGATCATATTATTAACACGCAACTCCCTGCAGAACTGTTTGTTACTCCCTCGGTAAACTTTCTAAATCACAAAAAAACTGAATTATTCATAAGTTAAACAAAAAAAAAATATATACTGTTAAAGTAACGCCGGTAAAATTATTTGTGTATTAGATAGCATAGAACAAACAAAGACGTATTGAAATAGAGTAAATTGTTAAATCTTAACGTGCAACACGAAAAGTTTGCTGTTGAAATGCGACTTCACCAGTAAAAAAAGATGTGACAGAATTATTATTAGCTTCATGTCTAATTGCAAAGTATTATAAAAGGTGTGAACAAAAGGAATATTGACATAATAGTTCTTAATGTGATACCTTAGTTTTCAATCAATCACTAGACAGTGTTAATATGTAAATACCTGTTTGTGGTATTTTAGTGCGACTGTGCACCTCACCGTTGAAGATGTGAACGAGTACGCCCCGGTCTTCCTCCATGACTCTTACATCACAGATGTTGATGAAGAACGGTTATACGACTCCATTATCCAGGTGAAAGCAGAGGATAGAGATTGCACCCCGAAGTACAGCGACATCTGTAAATACGAAATTCTAACTCCAGATCAACCCTTCACCATAGATTCTGAAGGTATATGTTAATTTTTAGCAATAATAATCAACTCTGTGTTATAATTATAATGTTCGATGTGTCATAAGGTGATAAGGTGTTGTGACCTGATTTTCTTGTATTAATAAGCTGGTTGTCTTTAAGAAGTGGAGTAGAAAAACGATATCTCTGTATATTAAATTTACTCGTAGAAATGTCAAATATCACCTTTGTATGACTGATTAAATTTGTTAAGTTAAAGGCACTGTTGCAAAAATAAGGGAAATCGGAAATAACACTTACGGGTAAGGGTTGAAACTTCTAGTTACACCTATAAAATTACGTCATTTTCGTTATCTCGAAAAAGACACTTTTTATACGACGATTATACCAATATATCAAATTGTATCAATGCAAGCCAAAACGTCCGTAAATTAAGCTTTGGCGAATTTACCTACCAGCAGATATCACGACAGATTTAGTATTCCGCACTGAGAGTAACGTCATGATATATTTGACACCAAAATACCAGAATAATTGAGTTAATACCATACATTGTTAAAAGTAATGACAAGTTTAAAAATATGTAATTAATAAGTTGTTGCAATTTTTCTATCGAACTGTGTATCGTAGAGAAACGAACACTGAATTCATATTTTATTGCAAAATAATACTTTAGTTAATCTTAAATCACATGATCTAAGCTTTGTAAGCAACCATATAAATCTCGGGTAGTGTGGGTTTTGCGCAACATTTATTGAGCTTCTATTTGTTAATTTTTATCCAAAAGTACGTTTATGCTTGAGTTGTTTGATCAACCAGATCCGGAAATGTTGCATTTAAGCTCCTGCCGGATATCCTGTTAAATAAAGAAAACACATCTTTAGATACAAGTTTTCCTCAACGATACTTTTCATTAGTTAATGTGCATATCCGTTTGATTCAACAACCACTTCTCGTGTTTGTGAGAACAAGTCAATTCCTAGAGGCGTTTTTGAGAGGATTGGTGTGCTGAAGTATTCTATGGGTTTTTTTTATATTGTTTAAATGGTATAAATGGAAAATAAAAAACATTATTTATAAGACATGGAGTGTTTCTTTTTGTTTTATCTTATTTTCCTAATGGTGGTTGGTGCTTTCGTACAAGGAAAACAAGCTAGATGCTTTTGTAATTAGCATTCTTCTAGCTACCTAATATACTTTAGAGATAATGAATCAAGATTAGAGCACTCAGTGTTCTTTTATTAAGTATTATCCCCATTATATTAAGGCGTAGTATCTCGTTTCCTGACAGTAGTTATCGTTTTCAATTGAGAAACTGGATTCCATTATTTTGTTAGTTAAGAATGTGTTGTTACTAGGGGCAAAGAAAAGGCTGGGATTGGGTGGAATTATTGCATGAGAAGACAGGGGAACTTGGGAGTGTAGCTAATTAAGCTTCACAGCTAAAGTTGTGCTAAACCTATTTCAGAGTTAATCAAAGAGTTGTACTGCATCTCCCAACAAGTGTAACGGGAGAGAGGGGCAGGTTAATAAACTTTGTTCTGGCAGTGTGTGTGTGTTTTGGTTTTTTAGCTGAATATATTACAATCCTAGTTTTACTAACATATTCCAATGCACAATTTCTTAAAACAAAAAAAAATGGTCATCGCTGCGTAGGATGAGAACGAGAAGATATATAGATATACAACTCACTAACTTCACTTATTGCTCACTAGTCTTTAGTTTTGGCAAGTCACATCTGTATGTAATGAAGAAGTGTGTACAGTTCATAATTTTGTATGTTTTGTTGTTTTCAATACATTATTTCCTAGTTTTAGAGTTAGTCATGACATTCTTCACCTAACGTCGAAAGTATCATAGGCTTAATTGTTTGAAACTGCACTGGGGGCGTAAATTTTTCTAATGGGTTAGGTTAGAGCCGTGATACATTATTCTAGCCCAAGATTTTTATAGTTTACGGGTTAAGCAAGTGTTTGTTTGTTTTTGAATTTCGCGCAAAGCCGACCCTAATTTAGCAGGGAAGGCAACTAGTCATCACCACCCACCAACGAATACTGGGATTGACCGCATCATTATAACTCCCCCAAGGCTGAAAGGGCGAGCACGTTTGGTGGGACGGGGATTAGAACCCGCAACCCGTAGATCACTAGTAGAGCGCCCTAACCACTTGGCCATGCCAGGCGTTCAGCAAGTATTTGTTAAATAATGTAATGACTCGCGTGGACATAGGCGGCTAGGTTTAAAAATAGTATAACCCGAAATGTAGTCTCAAAACCAAAATACTATGAAAAATGGCTTAAAGAACATTAACGTGTCGATGGAAGAGTTTCTGTCGAAGAATAAAATTAACATTTTTGGAATTAATGTATTATATGACTTTCCATCATGTTAATAGCCCGACTTAATTTGGTTAACGCGTTCACCTAACTTTAGCAAAATTCGCCGCATGTTTTTATAACATTTTAAGGAATCGTATCCGTAATATTTCCTTCGTCACATTGAGCTTTATAACTTCTAAAAGACGGTAGGTGGAGAGAACCCATCACACTAACGCATGTTTCCATGGCATTTCACGCAGATGGTTGTTCTTGGATACTAGTTACGATTCTCCTTATACGTAATAATGACGTTGTTTTTTTAACAACAATATCGTTTCCTACTTTTCTCACCAGTCGTAAACTGAGCAGCTTTCTCTCCTCTGTAGTATCAGGCTTTATCTTATCGCAATCAATACACAGACACGCGTATTACCACCACTTCAGTGTGTCTACCTGAGCTATTGGCGTATTTGCGTGTATAAAGTTATACATAAAATTAACAGTGTTTAAGCTGTTACAGTTGTTAGATAACATTAAAACTTCCGCTATCAATATTTTATACGAGCAACTTGTAGATACGTCGAAAGCCTGACCGTTAAAGACAGTATTTTGTATATATTGACTTTAGACATACGTAGAAATGAGGTGTATTCTAAGTGTCCAAGTCTGCAAACTTACTGTATTTGACACTTTTACTACATTACTGTATTTGACACATTTACTACATTACTGTATTTAACACATTTACTACATTACTGTATTTGACACATTTACTACATTAATCTATTAGACACTTTTAGTACATTACTGTATTTGACACTTTTATTACATTACTGTGTTTGATACATTTACTACATTACTGTATTTGACATTTTTACTACATTAATCTATTAGACACTTTTAGTACATTACTGTATTTGACACTTTTATTACATTACTGTGTTTGATACATTTACTACATTACTGTATTTGACATTTTTACTACATTAATCTATTAGACACTTTTTCTACATTACTGTATTTGACATTTTTACTACATTACTGTATTTGACACTTGTTCTACATTACTGTATT